AACACACTGTATGGCACTGAGCCTGTGTGGTTTTGAAATACAGAAATCTCAGCAGTGACACCGATGATACACTTTTCCCATTGTTTTCCTCTTCAGTTTTTGTTGATTTTAAAGTGCCTTAAGAAGTAATATCTCCATATTTAATACTTATAATTGTGATCTCCTGTCTTGCAAACACATTTAAAGCCTATTATTTTAGTCACTAGAGGGCATCCTTGGCCTGTTCTCAGTTCATCCTCATCAGTGTTCACCATCACAGCAAAGCTGTCACATCCTGTTTTACAGACAGGGCTAAATCATTTGAATTAGATGAAAATGTAGTAATATTGTATAGTACTCTTTTGTACTATAGTTAACAGATTTGTCTGACAGAAAGGGGGAGGGAAAGGAGTTTTTCAGACTGGGAAAACTGATTCTAGGTGCTTTCCAACAAACATTTGATCCTCCCTTTAAGAAGCCAGCAGGTTTTTATTGTTTATTGTAAGCAGTTGTTTGTTGAAGTGTGGAAAGAACAATTACAGGTGGGAAGTATTGTGCACATATATTTGGAGTGAGTGTCCATTTGACTTCATTCTGATGTGTGTATTTAGCAGTGATTGGCTAGTGGTATCTTGAAGCTTAGACCTCCATAGTAGTTGCCTCATCAGGTTGTTTTACTAAAAGGAAATCACTTTACATGACTAAAGTTACAGCAGCAATCAAACATCAGCAGATGCTCATTATCAGCTAGTGGGAATTTTGTTGTACTGCATTAGTCAGCTCCATCAACAAAGTATCAAAAGGGTTTGTAAATTACCAGACGAGTCTCTCCTCACACAGCTTACTTCTGCAGCTCTGCCAAAGATACAGAATCACACCAGACACAGTTTCACAAATCTCTGCGTCTCCCTCCAGGGTACTGTCTGTATTAACTTCTCACCACACTGTTTCTTAACTTGATGTTGTTTTACATACATTTTGGCTAAAAGAATGACACAATATGCAGTAAATCTGGTGTCTGTGATAAATATTTCAAACTGAAAGAAAAGGTAGGTTAGGAAATCCATCCATTCAACAATTTTCTAACTGTTTCGTTCAGTTCAGGGCTGTGGGAGAGCCAGAGACTATCCTGGCATGCACCAATCCATTGCTGCCCAATTAGGAAATATGAAGTGTAAATTAAACATCTTTTTTGTGATTAGTTTAAAGACTTTTTCCTCAGTCTTGCAGAAACATCAGATCACTTACAAACTTTTTTGTTCAACAAAAGATGTTACCTAGAATGCACATAAATAGTCTTAAAATCAGTATCTGAGGTGGCCTCTTGTTTTTGTTTTAGTAATTTACTGACCAAAGGATTCCACATAACATTAGACCACGAGGATCGAAACACTACCCAACAAGGCATTGACTGTGTCATTTGCAGCTGTCCAAGCATTTACTGTCTCACCTTTGGCACCATGGTCCAGAGCAGTAGAAAGCTCTTTATAAATGATATCAGGACAGGCCAGAGTCCAGTGATGCCGGGGCAGGAAATGTGAGACTCCCAGCCAGCATCTTTTCAGTTGCAGTCAGGCCAGCTAGCGAAGTCTGTTTCTGCCACTGTGAGAGCCGCAGATAAGAGTCATCATCAAAAAAGAGGACCACATTAGGTTTATGGATAAATCTTATCTGAATAACAGACATACAAAGAAGACACCTGTTTCCTGTACTTCATCACCTCTGGACACCCCCACAATGTGTAATATGATGTCTTCAACATAACTAAGGACTATCTCCAAATGATACACTCATAAAAAACGTTTAAGTAGATCATTACATGATTATCTCCTTTTTTATAAGGATAATTCAAACACAAAAACCCACAGAATGAAAGAAATGTTTGGCCAGTGATATTAAATGGTGATATTGTGACAAAGCATTTAACCATGTAATCACTAGATAAACTAGAACTTTGGCCCTGATAAGTGAGCTTCAATAGATTTGAATCTCCATGATAAGACCATATTTTTGTTTTTAATCATGATCAAAACCTTGTTCTTTGTTTCACTATCATCTGTTTCTTTTGCACGAATGATGATAAAATTGACAGTTTTAATGCAATTAATGAATTTAATGGTTAATTCCAGTCACATGCATATGTATAGCCTCTGGTGCAAACTCTGAAGCAGAGGGATAGTGTTAATTTTTAAATAAGAAAGCAGAGCACCCCTTATCAGTGATGGAAGAAATGCTATTCTGGAAAATAGCTTGTTAAGGTCAGCTGCTACAGAGATTTTGTCAAATAATTATTCACACTTTCTACAGGTTTTTATGATAATGGCATTAAAAAAAGATTTTATGTTGTTGATTTTGTGAGAAATGAGTTTGTAAATTAAAATGTACTTCATCTAATTTTCAGTCTTTCTTTCTCTTAAATAAGTAGCTGCCCTACTACTACCAGCTGTATCAATCCTGCAACTTACAACTGGGAATCCACTTAAACTAAGCAGGTGTGAGCCTGGCCAGTACCTGGATTGGAGGCTTTGTAGGAAAGCTAAGGTTTCTGCTGGAAGAGGTGTTAGTAGGACCAGAATGGGGTACTCACCCTCTGGTCTGTGTGGGCCTAATACTCTAGTATAGTGATGGGGACTGTACGCTGTAAAAAAGGTACCATCCTTTCTAATGAGATAGAAAACTGAGGAGTTTCTCGAAAAGAGTAGGGTTGTTAACTGGGGGGGCCCTCTAATAATCTCTATGAATTATCTTAATTTCTCTGCCCTCCTGCCTACTGATAGCCGATTTGTCATGACTGTACTGGTGTCACATCATCCAGCATATTGCTAGGGGTTTGCGGTTTCATTTCTTATTGTGCAAGTTAAGATGGGCTTTTCTCTAGCAGACAGCAGTATGTCCACTGGGGGGCAGCCTTGCCTCTGCTGCAGCATTTACCGAACGTAGGGTGTTTGGTAATTGATTGCCCAATTCAGCTGTGATGGGGAACAAGTGCCGATAGCGAGTAATTTGCAGCTGTAGACTGCCAGCACACAGTCCCTATCAGGCCCTGGCATTCATTTCACATAGCTGATAAAAAGGAGCTAATACATAATTATCCTTTGCAAATTGGATTGTTTTAACTAACTGTAGAATATGGCCTGGTGGAAGCAATCCCTGCTTTACAGCCCTCCCTCCCCCTGCCTTTGTACAGAGCCCCTATCGCAGCATAATTGCCTTAACTCAATGAATTTCTCTGCGCATTAGAAATTCCATCACTATAAACATTAAGCCTTACTCATTGTGATAGCTAAGAGACTGTCCATGTCTTTTTCTCTCTCCGTCTCCCCCTCCCATTCCTCCCTCATCCACTTTAACTGGCAAAATTAATCAGGAAGAGGATTTTAAACATTTACTGGTGCGAATGAGGTTAGGCCTGGCTGTGTATTGCAGAGCAGATAAGGGGAGCTAATAAAGAGCAAATTGAATTACTAATGATTGGGGCTGGAGCGTATTAAAGATGAGCATTAAAAAAAAGGAAAATGAAACACGATCCTGCCTGGCTTTGTCAAATAAGGAAATCGATTTCCCCTCTCCCCGGCGTGGCGTGCCTTAATTTCTTTTCAGCTATTTATATGTTTGATACACAGGCATTTATTTTGTTCATTGGTTATCTGCAATTTAATTTAAAGAGTGCATAAACATAAGGGAGCCGTTTGGGCTGTAATGAATCGAGTGGTGGTGAAGGCTAGCAGTGATGCACAAATAACATTATAAAGCAGATAAACGCTGTAATTGGATTGCTGACCGCCTGCTTCAGCAGCCTTCCTGCTCCGAAACCGTGGGAGCTGAGGCAGTTCCACCTTTTCTGCTCACCCGTGCATGTTTTTTTAGGACAGCTCTTTCCAGCTCATACTGGTGAAGGGGCGTTTTTCACAGTGAAAAGTAGTTTAAAAAAGCTGAACACTACAGGTTGAGAGGACTTTATGATCACTAGAATCCATGGCCACAGTCGCACTCTTGAGAGTAAATGTCAAAAATGCAATATGACCAGATTATAAGTTCTAATTTAATGTGTTGTTGTGTGGAGTTTCTCATGTCCGGGAATATGTTTTTATTATTAATTTTTCCTGGTGTATTAATGTTTTTTAAGGACAAATACCGCTGTACACAAAACTATAGTCCCCAATTTTTTAGTGTTGTTATTAAATATTGGTAAGTAACTAAATAAATTAATTAATTGAGAAATTACACATTTTGAATTAAGCACAAAATGGTGAACTTCGTGAAAGTCCTGTAAGTCTCCATGTTGTCGCAAACCCCTGGTCTGGCCACGGGTGAGAGCGAGAGTTCGTGAGAATCGGCCCTTCCTGCTCACTAGTCACTGTAACGACTAATGAAATGCGAGGTATGAGGAAATAATTACAGGTTGTGCAGCAGACATTTCCCCGCAGAAACATTCCAACATGATTTCCATGCAGTTATAACTGTTGGCGAAACCATCTCAAAATGCAGAGTACTATTTCTGTTG